CAGAGATGAGCAATATCGGTAAACTCCTTCAGGTCTCTCCGCCAAAAATTTCGATATTTTCAAAAAAAAAAAAAATATTTTGCCGCACAGAGAGAGATAGAAAGGATAATCCAATTTTGCTCCAACTTTGCAAATCCTAATATTTGCATCTGTTCTAGGTAAGAAAATGGTCCACTCCATCAAGTACCTGTCCCACAAAGGGTCAACATTTCGAATATAACTCTTATAATGTAATGATATGTAGGAGTCCGATTATCTTCAAACTACACACATCACAATATTTTCATCAACCCAAAGTCTGGTGTGAATATGAAATATATCGGTCCACTCCTTGTGGTACCTCTCCCACAAAGGGTCAAAATTTTGAAGCTCATAAAACGCGAAATTAATATCCGATTCCATTCAGACTTGGCACATCTCAATATTTCCATTAACACAAGGTCTGTTACAAAAATGTTAGATATTTAACCACTCCTTCTGGTACTTCCCCATAAAGGATCAAAGCTTTGAATAACCAAAACGATTATAAAATTCAAAATAAGCTTACGGTTCTTTTCATATTTCAGCATGTGGCAACAATTTGGAGCCATAGTGAAATTTTCCAAAAAAAAAAAAAAAAAAAAAAGAATAAATAAGTAATAATAATAATATATTTATAAAAAAAATATTTTCGATTTTCCGCTTTTTAGCAAACCTCATGATATGCCCCTCGTATTTTTCCATAGGTAAATATATCACTTCAAATATCTATATAAAATTTTTTCTATTCCTAGTATTTTTTCTGAATTGTACTTGTTTGTGTACATATTAAGAGAGGGAGTATAACTGCTCCCTCCCGTCATCGCCTTGTGGTACACTCAATCCCACAAATCAGCAAAAAAGAAATCCATTAGCGTTCTGAGATGAAAAAAAAAAACAAATTAGAAAAAATTTAAACTAATTTATAGCAATTTTTCCTTAGGCGGCAATATATTATCCAAGTGTTCTATGAATTTTTCTCTGGCCATGCGAATTTCCCATTTTGCTGACATTGTTTATATTTTAAAAGGGGACAAACAGAGTACAACAACGGATGCTGGCGGAGCGAGCGTACTCTTTGTAACGTGAAAGAAAAGTGAGAAATGTTGAAATTTTTTTGACATAAAAAAAACAAAATAAAAAAATATGAATTAAAAATTAAAGAGGTTCCATAAATATTTAAAATAATTAAGGAAGACATGTTCAAGTTAAAATTTAAAAGTGTTAAATATAAACATCAACAAAATGTTTCGAATACGAATTATAGCTTCCCACAACAGAAGCTGTATGTGAAATACTCTATAGTGCAATAAAAAAATAAGCAATTTTTTATTATGTGCTAATGTCAAACGAGAGAAAAACAAAACAAACATTGCAAATCTTGTTTTAACTTGCATCATTCACGTGTTTTTCTTTCTTTTTGTTTTTGTGTTGTGTGTTAACAAAATGCCACAGGAAAGTTTTCCCATCTAGACCCGATGTCAGACACACACAGAGACCCCCAGACGACACTGTGTTTGCCAATTTAATTTTGAACGATAAGAATATTTAATTTGTTTACACTCAATTATCGAAAGAAAACACGTCATTTAAGGTAATTCATCTGTAAAACAATAACAAAAAGACAAACAAATCAGGAAAAGATAGGAACTAAAAAATACCCTAAGCATGTAAGAGAGCCGAGGATTTTAAAATTTTTTGAAGGTCCCAAGGATCTGAAATGTGAATTTCAGAAAAAAAAAACGTTTTTAAACAGTTTTAATTCAACCTTCGACAAGGGTCAAAGCCTTGTTATACCCTCCACCTTGGAAAGGAGGGTATATTAACTTTGTCATTCCGTTGGTAACATCCCTAAATATCCATGGTAGACCCCATATAGTGTATATATAGTCATAATCAGCATAAAATTCTAAGTGTTAAAGATGTCCGTCTGTCTGTCTGTTGAAATCACGATACAGCCCACATTATTTGACGTAGAGCGCCAAAATTTAGCAGATCAATTTGTAATGTGTCTAGGATGGTTGGTATTGAAAATGAGATATATCGGTCCACGTTTTGGTATAGTCCCCATATAACGGTACCTCCCGATATTCGGTATTTTGATGATTTATGCCACATTTTTTTCACGGATTTGTCTGAAAATTGGTATTTGTTGGTCATAATGGGTCCCAGTTCGTGTGGCGAGACATTGCATGTATAGGTCCACGCTTTGGTATAGCTCCCATATAACGGTACCTCCCGATTTTCGGTATTTTGATGGTTTTTGCCACATTTTTTTCACAAATTTCTCTGAAAATTGGTAGTTGTAGGTTTAAAAAATTAAATTTTTCCAAAAATAAAAATAAATAAATAAATATTTTTGTAAACTCTATTGTCTATTGCAAGACAATTATTGAAATGCAAATCTTCTGCAGGACTTAAATTTGAGTTTTAATGGATTTGTTGATCCCGACCTAACCTTGATTTTAATCCCCACCTGATGTTGAAACAAAGACAGCTACTTGACACATTTTTTCATAATAGAGATATAAAACCTATCATTCAAGCGGCGTTGAAATATCAAAATTCATTCTGCAACAGTATCAATTGTGAATACTTTTCCCAAGGCACTTGATCTGTTGTTAAAACAATAAAACTGTGAATTTGAATCAATAGCTGAAAGCTTATGGCACCAGTCCAATGTAACCTGGAATCCACCAATAAAACAATTGTACATTTTCAATGATTCTCAATTAGAATGGGAACGTTTCAAAATGTTAATGATTTTTTTTTCAAGTTGCTAAGTGAAGTTGGAAATTTTTGAAAATTGAATTAGAGACATACAAAATATGTAAGATAATTATTTGTAATTAACTTAAAAGAGAATTCAAGACGAAAAAGGTCCTGGGTAAATTAGTATGCAATATCAAATGAAGATTTTCAAAGAAAAGAAATTGTCGCCCAACGTTGTCCCATAGAAACTGGGAGAACCATTTTTACTATCTGCATTAAAGTGGTGTTGTAAATACCCATCAATTGCCTGTCAATGTCACACCAAGTTTGCTCAAGGCAATTTTCACAAACGCTTTTTTCTTTTGTAGGCCTTTAGTGCAGCTTTCTCACACACTCATCTTGTTTTAAAAGTGGCGGTAAGAGATAAATCAATTCATTCATACTCCCTCTCACCCTCTCTCTCTCCAACACGCACACATATTGATATGATATGATATGCCGTTTTCTGTGTCGTTTACATCTTGTGAACAGCAGAAATTGAATTTTCATAATTTAATTCATTTACATTGACAACAGCCCCAGCGTCAGCTCTTAGATGATTGCCAATAATAGAGAACAAACTGTCTCTCTCTCTCTTTCTCGTCATCGTTCCTTGCCTTCCTTTCTAAGGGGTCTAAAGTTTTTCCAAGCAATTTATTTTCTAATGTCATAAAGAAATTATGAAACACCATTCATTCATTCATTTTGTCACCCATTCCCCCTTCTCCCGCCATTATTTTGGTGTGCCAGGCGTATGCGTAACACAACAAGAATAACAATTTGACGTTTTTGGAAACTTTTAGCCAAGTCAATTAGACTGTGAAATCTTATTTGATCATGTTATTCATAAAATTTCTCAAAGAAAAAGACATGAAAAGGGGCAAAATGAGTTCTTCGTTTTAATTGAATTATTTGCTCAGTTGCAATTAGTTTTCGAATTTTGGATGGAAATAAAAAATCATGACAAATTTGTAGATCTAAGAATTGGTCCTTTAAGGAGATTTATTTTTTAAATCAAGATTTGAATGAAATATTTTATTAAAATATTTTATTCCCCAAAGAGGCTCAACTATTCATTAAAAATTCAGACGATGCCTAAAAATGCTTAAAAAAAGAACGAATTGGGTCCCGAGTAGAGTCTCACAAAGTCTTAAAGAAATCCCCTTTTTGGGTCCCAGAAAAAAAATTAGGATTTAGGTAAAAAAATAAATAAAATAAAATAAAAAAATAAAAAATGTCTGACATTAATTAAAATTCGAGTCGCAATAAGAGGTCTAAAAAATGTTTAAAAATCTACGATTTGGGGCTTAAAAATGCTTCTCTTTTAAAAAATGTTGGGAGCTTAGATAAATGCTGAACAAAAATCTACTCCAGGGGACTCTTAAAAAGTTTAAAAGTAATTCTTCCAAAAAATCCAAGATTTGGGCCCTTAAAAATATTTAAAAAATATGATTTTCTTAAGAAATTCCGGTGGTTTATTTCCAATCCAAAAAATATCGTTTTTATTTGTATTACGTGCCTTAGATTTGAAAAAAAAAATATTTTTTTCAATACATTCATCTAAGCTGTTTTAACAGCATTCCAATTGTTAATGGCTATGGATTTGAATAAAGCTATTTGAATTTTTTATCTACTCAGTCGAAACAAATTAAAAACTAAAACGCTTTGCATTACAAATTGTATTTTGTTGTATTACAACAAAAATCAAGATATGTATTGACACGAAATTGAAAATAAATATGATTACCTTGAAATCTTGAAAAACATTTTCATTTGAATTTAAATGACACATTTATTAAAAATATTTATTTTGGAAATTATTGAAATCGGATCTTTTGAAAATTCCCTTAAATCTCTTATTATCTAAAATATTTTTAATATTTCTTAAGCCTGGAGTGTATTTTTAATATTTTTTCTCAATATATTAAAATTTCAATCCTCTTTCGTTGTTGCTTTTGGTATTTTTCCTCCAGCTTACATTTTTTTTCTACCTTCCTCCCGCTCCTTGGTTTACCAGCTAATAGGATTACTTGAGGGGGATGATATGATTAAAATGTGATCAAATTAAAGCTCATTGCTCTCTAAGTGGCCTGGCAGACATGGTGACATATGCTCCATCCTCCCCACTTTTAATTCCCAATGACCCCACAAAAAAAGTTCAAAAATAATTAAAACCAGATTTGTTTTCTTTTAATAATTTCCGTTCTCTTCTTTTTGTTTTTGTCTTCCAGTAACAATTCCATAACGCAATGAAATCGTCTGAAGCCGGTGGTGGTGAACTAAGACAGCAACAGCACAAATCTTCATTAAATTCAACAGCAGCAGCAGCGACGGCAGCCTCAAACAAAACCGGCCTCAACGAATCGACAACATCCTTCACTACCAATACACCGAACTCAACAGCACTCAACAACGACACACCGAGCAAGAATCCCTTCAAGCAACATCTCCAGACCCAGCAACAACAACAGAATGGCAGCAGCAACAACTCATCGGATGGCCTCCATGCCAGCGAGCGCGGCACAAGCTATGGCGGAATTTTGGGCGTCGGAGCCACCACACCGGCCGATCCAAAAATGACCTCACCTCCGGGTGGCGGCGGGCGAGCTGGGGGTGGTGCCGGACCACCTTTACCACCACCGGATCATCATCGACAAGAAGATTACCGAGCTGCCGGGTCCTGGGCCGCCTTTAAGAATTGGATGATCGGATGGCGTGGCTCGAGCCGTTTGGTATTGGTCATTGTGGCCATAGCCCTGCTATTGGACAATATGTTGTTGACAACAGTTGGTAAGTCAAGTTCCCATAAGGCCGGCAATTCAAAAATCATTTATTCAATCTTTTTTCCGCCGTTACTTTACCGCATCCCCTTGGGGGCTTTTAATAACTAAGCATGCGGCATTACCATGGCGATATGAGCCAGTCGAGCTTGATTAGCTGTCAGGAAGCACTTAAGTTAATGAGCTAAAATAATAGTCATCATCGATGATGTGATGATGATGATGGAGTTGTTTGATGGATGACACAGTGTTGCGAAACTGAACTACGAGACAGATATTATGAATTATTATGGAAAACTCTTTTCAGCAAATGTAGGCTCAAGAGAGCTTTATTCTGTCAGGCGGAATTTAAAATTTCTCATTGAAACCTTGATCCAGCATTGAAGAAATTAAGCCTTTCTTATGAAAAATTCTATTCAGCCCGTGCTATTTTCCCGGGCTATATTGAAGCTTCTCCTAAGGAAACTTCTATTCGACCCGGGATACATTGAAGCTTTCCCTATGGAAATTTTATTCAGTCCGGGCTAGAAACAAAAAGAAATTCTTGTTGAAGACTAGAAGGTCTTTTCATAGAATACCAGAAGGTCTCCTAATAGAGGACAATAAGGTCTTCTCATAGAAAAGCAGAAGAAGACTTTCTCATGGAAATTCCTATTTGGCCCGGGCTATATTGAAGCTTCTCCTAAGGAAACTTCTATTCGGCCCGGGATACATTGAAGTTTCCCCTATGGAAATTCTATTCAGTCCGGGCAGGAAACCAAAAAAAATTCTCCTTGAAGACTAGAAGGTCTTTTCATAGAATACCAGAAGATCTTCTCATAGAATACCAGAAGGTCTTCTCATTGATAAGCAGAAGATCTTCTCATAGAAGACCACAAGGTCTTCTCATATAAGACCAGAAGCTTTCCTTATGGAAACTTCTATTAAGCCGGGATGAACAGAAGCTTTCCTGTAAGAAACTTGTATTCAGCCAGGATGAATTTATGCTTTTTTCGGTGCTCGGCGATATACCCGCATACCTATTTTTACCCTCAGTGAACAGAGATTCTACGTTCAATTCATTTGTTGAAGACCTCTAGACAAATATGTTTTGCGGTTTTAACATTTTCAAACCTTGGCGCCCAACTGATGGCACATAAGTTTCCATGGAGATTGCCAGACGAATATTTATAAGAATCTAAATAATTCATAACACAGAAATACAGGGTGAGATAAAAAAATCCGCAACAAAGTCATACGCCATATTTTTTTCTATGTTTTTTAATTTTATTGAATGAAAGCAGCAAATGTCGAAAATAGCATCAAATTTTCGAATAAGTTTAGATTTGTTCGAATGGGTTACCTTTGGCACGAACTATGGTCTTCAAATGGCAAATGAAACCGTGACACGCTGCCCCAATGTTGCTCTGCGGTATTTTGGCCCACTCCCGGCGAAACGCTTGAGGTGATCGACACTTTGGTATTTTTTTAGTGCCAAGCTTTGCCTTTCAAAATACTCCAGACACAATAGTTAAACGGATTGGTATCCGGAGATTTTGGTGGCCATTGTGAGCTGAAAATAGAGCAAGGAACCTCATTTTGTAACCATTCTTGGGTTGGGCGTGCTGAGTGTGATGGTTCTGAGTCCTGTTGGAATGTCCAAGGTCTGCGGCCAAAATGTTTGCGTACCCAAGGCTTTAATACACCCTCCAGAATATTTTCGCGATAATATTCGGCATTTATTCTGATGCCACGGTCGATTAATACGAGCGAGAGCGACCATCTGCTGAGCTCGGAGTAAAACCATTGAAATTCCAAAAAAGTGCAAGAACTTACACCGCAACAGAAAGAAATTAGACTCAAAAGAGCCCAAGAGTTGATTCGCTAGGCCGAAAGTGGTAAAGTGCCGAACTTGGTTTTCTCCGATAAGAAAACATTCGTTGTCCAGCTGTTTGTAAACAAACAAAATGATCGCGTTTACTTGCCAAAGAGGTCAGCTGAAAATGTGCACCTTCGGTTGGCCACCAGAACTCAAGCGCAGCCATGGTGATGATGTGCACCATTGAATGTTTTCTCATCGGAGAAAACCAAATGCAGCAGTTCACCACTTTCGGCCAAGCGAAGCAACTCTTTAGCTCTTTTGAGTCTATTTTCTTTCTGTTGCGGTGTAAGTTCTTGCACTTTTTGAAATTTCAATGGCTTTACTCCGAGCTCATTTTTCAATATTTGCCGAATGGAATATTGCTATATGTTCAGCTCAAGAGCCATTTTTTCGGGCACTGCAACGCGAGTTTCGATCAAGTCGCTTCTTTACTTTTCGAACCATTTCTGCTGATGTTACTGTTTTCCTCCGTCAACTTCCTTGACGTCAGGCTATGCTACGAGCGATGGTACGAGACGCAAAAGATTTATTCACATTTAAATACTGAAGTGCTCCGACGATAGCCACTTGTGGTTTTCCAGCCAAATATAAAAAAATAACACTGTCACGTTTCAATTCCATCACGAATAACTTTTTTTCTGGAAAATTCTCATCAAAATGATTTTGTATGCTTTTAAATAATATAATGAGCTGTCACTGGAATAATTTTAACAGATGTCTGACGAGTGCCTTAGAAATGACAGCAGTCTGAAATTGGTTGCAGATTTTTCGTCACAGAAAGGAATACTTAGGTCGACTATATCTTCCACCTCATGCACATTTTAACATTTTCTAAAAATTATCACATATATCATATAAAGTGAAGGAATTCGCCTATATGGCCCAAGTCTGGCACGTCGCAATATTTATATCATTTTTAATTAAGTCCGATACGAAATTAACAAATATTCCTTAAGAACTACTTATGATTGTAAAAGAGAGAGAAAGATAGAGAGAGAAAGAGAGTTATGATGCCTATGCACAACACCGCATAGGTGTCAAGCAAACTTGCTACACATACTTATCAGTTTATAGTCTAGGCTATATCTCGAAATCAAACTCAAACATACCGCATGTGGGAACGGAAAATTCTATCTTATATATTTCTAAGGTTAGTTCATCCCAGTTTCTTATCTGTTCACGGATCCCTGTTTAACAGTTTCTATATTAAAATCTCTCTCTCTTTCTCTATCTTCTCTACACAAGGTTGCCACCCTATTCCCTTTTATAAAAACATGTTTACATATACGTTAACACTCAGGGAAAATCTAAAAATCGGCCATCTTTTCCCCTCGTATCCTCTATTCCATTCTCCTTAAATTTATTACCCAAAACTTGCAATGGAAACTTATTTACACACACCTTAAGAGCTTCTAATACAAATTTATTGCTTTATTATACAAAATATTAAAAGCAGAATCCCCCTAAAATCCTAATCTAGGTAATAGTTCCCCCCTCCTTATTCTGGATAAAAGGTATCATGACAAACCATCAAATGAAATTAATTTTCCAGATAAAAATAGCATTTTCCAAGCAAAAAAAAATATGGGAAAAACACACGTCTTCAGTTCGAATAATATGAATAAATTTTGTTACATATGTATGCCGGTGTGTGTGTAGAATTTCCCCACATAAAACATATTTATGCTGATGGCTGTGATTTGATAAAATGGCAATGCTTTTAGCCAGCCCTCTCCATGCAGGTATGCAGCCAAGAGCAAAATAAATGTTTAACAAGACATTTCACACTTGAACTTAACACAAAAGTTGATTATCCTTACAATAGTCCTTTGCTTTGCTTGGGCAAGCATATAAAGCAGCTAGGTGGGGGTCCAAGGGGGTTGCGTTACGTTAGATTTATCTTTAATGTGGCCACTTAAGGTAAAAAAAGTTGTTTCTAACTTGGTGATGGATTTCCGGGCCATGATAAATGGGGAGAAGGGGTGGAAAATCCTCGTTGAGATTTCTAGTTTTTCTTTCTTAGCTTTTCAGATTCTTTTTTTGTTCTTTGAATGACTAGCATCATTTCCTTTTTGCCACTGGAATTTTCTTTTAGTTCTTTTGCTGTTTCTCTTCTTTTTTCTGCATTTAAGTTTCAACAAGTTGTTGGCAAAGTAGTTTTCCTTCTTCTTTACTTTTTTCACAAAACTGTTGCTTTCAATTGGAGAATGGAAGGACTAGTATTTTTTCCAAACTCAAATCCCCACACACTTGTGGTCTTTGTGTCAAACGTAAAGTATTTGAAGTTGTTTTCCTTTGCCGGAATTGTCTGTGACAAAGGAAAATGTCTTAGAACAAATTTAACAATTGGCAAAATCAATGGGAAATCTTAAATGCGGAATGAGGTTTTCGATGGGGGAAATTTTTCGAGTCATTTCAAAATAACCAAACATTTTTTTTCGCATAACAGTAAAAATTATGTTTTGACGTTTGTTTTGAATGCATAAATTTATTTGCGGCGAATTCAAATTATATTGACACATCGTCTGGTAATCAGACAACACAACTTTATTTATTTTTCAACATTCATTTGAAAAACTGTGATTTGTAGCATATTTTCAATTAGAGTTATTTTAATAATTTTTGAATTTTTTCAATAGTTGTTTAAAAAAAAGCGGCATAGAAACATTTGCACCACTTTGCACAAAAAATAGGTTACACATGGTACGAAAAAGACATAATTTTCATTAACTTTTTACTCACCGATTTTAGAGGATTTTCAATTTTTGAAAATGAGGAAGCCATCCTTTTAGTTCTCTGAGTCGACACACAATTTTGGTTGACAAACAATCCTCACGAAGACTCTGGCAATGTCTTTCTTGTATGCGGTGTGGAGAAAGACAGCTTTTAACTGTTCTGCGTCTTTATTGATTCTTCAACCTTCATTTGAAAAACTTTGATTCTTGGCATATTTTCAATTAGAGTGTTTTTTTAATAATTAGTTGTTTTTTAAAAAAAGCAGCATAGAAACATTGTTGGTCGTTCAAATTTGCACCACTTTGCACAAAAAATAGGTTACACAAGGTACGAAATAGACATGACATTGCATTTTGTTTATCATTAACTGTTTACCGATTTTAGAGAATTTTTAATTGTTGAGGAAACCATCC